TATCGTGCTAATATTTTGAGATTGAATATCGATTATTGGAAGACACTCAGTGACGGAAAGAAATGCTATTAGAGAGTTGTATGGCCAGTAGTTAACGCAAAAGGTTTGGTAATGACTATAGTCACTAAATATCGAAAGTAAATATTTATGTAGGTACTTAGAATATATTAAAAAGCCGAAGACGTACATAAAGTTTCAACAAAACTTGTTTAGATAGATATAAAGTCAAAGTCAAAAATCATTTATTCCAATTAGACCTTTACAGGCACTTTTGAACGTCAAACAAAATATAAAATAAAAAAATAGTGTCAGTCTGTCGGTCAGTCCTCTTAGTGAAGCTATTTGCTCGTTCCAAAGTGTAGATTCCTATGGAGAAGAACGAGCAAGAAACTCCATGGTTACTCTTTTTAAATCAGTTTCACATACAGATTCCTTTTACAAACAGTTGGTTCAATTATGTGAGAACAGTGTAACACTAATATTTATTCAAATATAAAAATAAAGTAACCTTAAGGACAATAGACAGTCTGGAGCTGACCAGTCCCAACTGACGGCGCTCGTTCACGAGCATGACACGTACACCAGCATCGCCCAACTCAACCATATTATAGGGAATTAAGCGATCCAGTGCCCATGCCACCGCCAGTGTGACCTTTCAGTGAGCATGACAACTCCAAGCTGTTATAAGGACCGACATTCTGCTAGTCTAACCAATTATAATAGGTTACAGGGCACTCACATTTACAAATTTATCAAGTTATAGTTATACAATATAATGCAATTTCACTAAAATGAAGAAGTCCCGTTCAAGCAAAATCCATTGGAACGTTATTTATTTTGGTGTACGTTTGCTATCCTGTGGAGCAGGACCAGCATGTCTCCAAGCATCTTTATCTACAATGTAATCATTCAGTGTGTAGTATGCTTTTCTACATAAAGTTTTCTTTACACATTTAAAATTTCTTTCATTTAATTGTTGTATTTCGCCTGGGATTTTGTTATAACATTTAACACAGAATCCCATGAACGACTTATGTACCTTTGCCAATCTAAATAATGGCTGACATAATCTATCTCTATGTCTAGTTTGATAATTATGTCTATCTGACACCTTATCGAATATTTTTAAGTTTTTCCTAACATACATAATGTTTTCATAAATAAACTGACATGGCACGGTCATAATATTGATCTCTCTAAACTTTTCTCTAAGAGACTCACGACGCCTTAGATTGTAAATAGCTCTGATGGCACGCTTTTGCAAGACAAAGATAGACTCAATGTCAGCAGCCTGTCCCCACAACAAGATGCCATACGACATAATGCTATGAAAGTAGCTGAAGTACACCATTCTTGCAGTGTCCACATCTGTTAGCTGTCGGATCTTCCAGACAGCAAATGCTGCAGAGCTCAACCGTCCTGCCAGAGATGTGATATGGGGCCCCCATTGTAGTTTGTCATCTATGGTTATACCCAGAAAAGTAGTTTGTTTTACAAATTCCAATTTATTACCGTTTAATAATATGTCACATTCGGTACTTTTAACATTTGGCAAACTGAATCGTATACATTTAGTCTTTTTGTCGTTTAGGACTAAATTATTAATTGTAAACCAATTATGAACCTTCGTTATAGCATTATTTACGTCGTCATAATTATCTGTCCGTCTATTTATTTTAAAAATCAACGATGTGTCATCAGCAAATAATACCATTCCCGGTTCACGTTGAAATAAATGAGGTAAATCATTTATGTACACTAAAAACAGGAAAGGACCTAATATTGAGCCCTGTGGTACGCCCATAGATATGCTAGTACCCTGGGAGTTCACTTTATTTACTTGTACTTTGAACTGCCTATCCTGCAGGTATGATTTTAATAAATTGAGAGATACCCCTCGAATGCCATAGTGTTCCAATTTCAGCAACAGTGTCGTGTGTTCAACGCAATCAAAAGCTTTAGACAGGTCACAAAAAATCCCAATAGCGTCGTTTGACTTTTCCCATGAGGCAAAAACATGCTTAAGTAGAGCTACACCGGCGTCAGTTGTGCATCGACCCTTGGTAAACCCATATTGTTGGTCATGAAAGATGGAATTTATGTTAAAGTGTCGTAGCATCTGAGAAAGCATTAGCTTTTCAAACACTTTACTAAGCACTGGTAAAATTGATACCGGCCTATAATTATTGGGATCATTGTCATCGCCAGATTTAAACAACGGAACTACCTTGCTAAGTTTCATCAAATTTGGAAAAACACCCTGATCTACACTTTTATTAAAAATTACAGCTAAATAAGGCGCTATAGCTTCTATAAAAGACCTACACACCACAACAGACATTCCCCATAGATCCTCTGTAGACTTAACTTTTATGTCTTTAAACGCCTTTATTACTGATTGCGGGTCCGTGTACTGAAATCGGAAGCCAGAACGGCATTCTTTAACATTTCTTTTAAGAAGACTAATAGAAAGTGCCGGAGATGATTCTAAGTCTTTCGTAGTTTTAATGGGGATATTCTTGAAAAAAAATTCGAATTCTTGGGCAACTTCTTGATTAGCATTAACTCGTCCATTATCCGTATTTAAATTAAATTCCGTGTTATGCAATTTATTTCTGCCTGTCTCGTTATTAATTACCTTCCACGTAGCTTTTGTTTTATTTTCAGCATTTTTAATCTTATTGCCAATATAAAGTGATTTAGCTTGCTTACAGACTGTTTTAAATATTTTTGCATATTTGGACACATGCTTGCTGAAGGCTTCACTAGTATCAAATGGTTTCATACCATATAGCTCAAATAACCTTTCCCTACTTCTACGAATACCTGGGGTAGCCCAGTCACAGAATACAAATTTACACTCAATAGTTTTTCTTTTTAAGGGGAATATTTTATCAAACTGGGTTTTAATCACGGACAGTAGATTGTCATAAATCTCACTTGGACCTTCATAATCATGTGATGGGCTGCATAATTTATGTTTCAAATTGTTATTTAATAACTCAACCCTTTTATTTGTGATTTGCCTAAACATTATTTCCTTTTTTGGCACCTTTGTGATGTTGTTAAGGTTCATTGTTAACCCACTGTGGTCTGATGGTAAGGTATTTATTATATCCTTATGTAAATAATTACAGTTACAAAATATATTATCTATGCATGTAGCCGAGGTGGATGTTACTCGGGTGGGCTCAAGGAAAACATTAGACAAATCAAAAGATTTAAAAAGACTTACTAAATTAACACAATTAGAATTGTTTTCTAAGAGATCAATATTAAAATCGCCACATACTATTGTGAATTTACTGTTTGAACACACTTTCTGCAAAACTTGTTCCATGACTGAGTTAAAAATGTTTAAGTTCTGTAAGTTAGGAGGTCTATAAACGCATATTACAACATGCCTATCCAGCTCCACACAGGACAATTCAATTGTATGCTCAATGGAAAGTGAAGTAATATCTTGTCTTTCTTTATATTTAATTGAGTTTTTTAATAATATTAAACTACCACCATGAATCATTGCTTGACGGCTAAAGAAACTACCAACACAATAATTTTTAAAACTCATAAATTCTACCTGATACTTCTTCATCCAATGCTCTGTTATACAAACTATGTCAAATTTAAATTTTTCTAAAAATAATTCCAATTCTGGTAACTTGGATGAAATGCCCTGAATATTTTGACTGAGGAGTGTAAAATTTCCTCGTTTGTTTTTAGAATATAATTTATTGCGAGAAGATACCTTTTGATAACTTGTAGCATTAGAATTTAAAAGGTTTTCTTCCGTTGTCTCAAAATTTATTACATAACATACATACATAATTTATAACTCAACACGAGTTTCAAAAACAGATACATACATAGGTAGTTGTACATTACAACAGCAACTGAAGTTCTGCGTAAAATGTACATTCGAAAACACTTTGACCTTGTTTAAAATAAACCTACATATGTACGCATTTACCCGTGTATTTCAGTAGGACAAACACAGCATGGTGTGAAAGTGTATGGAGATATGCAAATCGCGTTCCATTTAAGTAATCGAACCAGCATTTTGTATGATGTCGCTACAGCTGATAACACAAGATAAGCTCCAGTGGCTCGTGACAAAACTACTGCAAATATATTTGGTTTATAGTTTTGTAATTAAAGTATTTTTTTAAAACACCGTTACCGTTCTTAGATCTACTGACCTTGAATTCATATGTGTCGTTACAAAACAATTCAATGTATTTTGAAAAGAATTTGAATTCATAATTGTTATACTTAAAATATTTTACTTTGATTTAATCGCTTATAAGGGAAATGGTTACGTGATCTATCTTTTAACAAAATAAACGCTTGGATAAACAGTATACATTAATTAAAGATATAATAATTTTATACAGAATGTTTAGAGACATCAACAGTAACAAGGCGGTTTCAAAGCACAGATTAACTTACAACAACAAACATAAGAGCCGAAGTACTTATTGTAAAGTGATCTAACGAATCAATAACAGAGACTCACGATATACCTACAGGGTGAACTAGATACTTAGTTATAACGTGTTGGGGAAGGCCGCTCCTATAAACGAAGAGTTTCAAACTGGCAGTAGCTGTGTAGACACAAATATATGGCATTGCTGATACGAGACACAATTTTAGAGCGTGATATTACTCTTTACTCGGTGTGTAGGTATAGAGATATAATAAATACGAGGAATAATGTATAAACGAATATATATATAACATAACTTAGGTACCTATAAATCCAAGGTGACAGGGCCTTTACGTATGTCAATAAATCTTTTTTGTACAGGAAAATAGTAGCTCTATATTTCTATAACTTTTAATATTTCAGTGGGTTACGTCACTCACACGTCAACATGACGCACTTGAACCACTTTCCACCGGTCCATGGTAATGAACATCGTAGAGCCGACCAGATACTCACAGGGGAATCAAATGAAGAAACACGGCACGGTAATGTAAGTAGACAAACTAGGGCTTACCTTAAGTTTACATGAGGTTGTATTGTTTCTACATCGTAAGCACGTCGCGCGCAATAACGTGATATCGTGCTTGTCGGGTTTTAGTACGAGATGTAACCGCGTCGTAGTGCATATCGCGGGATGGCGGAGGCGAATGGAGTGGCATGCGCGGCCGCCCACGCTCGATACGCGCCGCGCCGTCGCCCTGCGCCCTGCGCGGTACCCATCCCACCCCTCCTACCCACTCCATACCCCAGATCCGTTGTTTCACTTTCACAACAACTTCACAATACATTGCGCTGTAACTTCCAATGTAATGAAGTCTTTTCAGAAGGCTTACTACGGAAAGTTCAATGGAATGCTCCCCGTTTCCGAATTTCGCACTTTTAGATTTAGTTTTACGTAAATTGTTAAAGGAATCGGTTGCCCTTGGGCAGTTGCAGCTGATGGTAGCCAGTGTATTTATGTGACACTTGTAGAATGTATGATTTTAATACAGGAATAAATACTATCTTCTCAGATTTTTTGGAAATAAAATACATAGTTTTATAAATATGCAAAGACATTTATTTAATAAAATTGTTTTTACAATGTAATAAATAATTATTTTCTCTATTTTCCGGTATCTTCTTTGAGAGAAACCGTTCTGTTGAACACCAACTGTAAAAAGAAAACAATAAAAGTTAAGTGAGAACATCTTAAGGAATAATCATATTTCTATCTACCTATAAAATTGATAGTACCAAAATAGGTACTTACTAGCACACTGGCAACTTGATGTGGATGATGCAACTATTTTATTGCCAAAAAAACAGATCAATACCAAACTGTCGTCTTTTTCTATCCGAGGGTGGTCTATTTGAAGTCTTGCCAAGAAATTAATATTGCGACCCAAATTATAAAGAACCTTAGAAGAGGTTATATTAGAAGACTATTTTCTGCTAATATATTTCAACGAGAAGTATGTACAATTGTATTTAATGCCTAGTATAAAACAAAGTCGCTTTCTTTGTCATTATATACTTACTTATGCATGCTTAAATCCCTAAAACTACACATCGAATTCGGATGCGTTTTTTAAAGGATTGAAGATTAAGTTTTATATATAAAAACATCCATTTAATAATGAAGAAATTTAGTATCAGCATTGCCCGTCCAAACCCGGGGCGGGTCGCTAACTATATTAATAAAAACCAAATATGACGACCAAGAAGGTCGCCTAAAAGAAGAAAAGAAAGGCTGCCACAGAGAAAAATAACACACAACTTAAATACCCACATAATTATGTAAAATACAAGGACTTACGTGTTTGTTCGTTGAATCAGGATCTACTGAGAAGAATCCAATCCTTTCGAATTGGAACTTGTCGAATACCTTTGCAGTGATGAGGGAAGAATCCGCGTAAGCCTTTACAATCTTCAAACTGTCTTTACGACAGTCAGAGAGGAAGCCACCAGGAACCTCGCTTGGATCCTCAGGGTTCTTGTGTTGGAACCTACACAAAAAAATAAACACTGACTAATATTTTTCATCGATAATGAACGAGTATTCGATATTTTCACGCTTTTCTAAGCGTTTCCAAAAAATATCGTTAAGTATATATATATTATTACATCTACAAAGGTATAAAAAAAATATTTTATAAAAGCAAAATTTTTAGATTTTTTTTTCATAGACTAGTTATTCGAAATCCCAAAGATAAAAGTCAGTGATGGTCTAACATAGTAGTATTCTTATTTTTCGGATGACATTGCCTTATTTATGCGCATTAGAGTTAAAGTGGGTGTTTATTACGTCAAAATGATACTAAGTATAAAAATGTGAAGATGTGACGTCATACAATGTTTCGCCTCATCAACGATTTCGATTCTTGTGACGTAAAACAGTAGAACGGGTTACATAATAGACTGTTTTTTTTTTCTTAGTCATCATTCCAGTTACGTCAGAGGAAACGTGCTCTTATACCTACAAACCCAGTGATTCTTTTTGCTTGCGTTTGTCTAAGAGTCAACAAAAAATATTTTCTCCTATTCTCAATTCTTTCTGTCAGTTGGAGTAAGACACTATTATTAATAAGTGTGGGAGAGCCATGCTTCGGCACGAATCGGTCTGATCGACCGGAGTAATACCACGGCCTCACAGAAAACCGGCGCGAAACTATCACCGCGTAGTGTTTCGCCGTGTGACTGAGGTTACCGGAGACCCTTTCCTTCCCCTCCCCAAATCCCTTCCTAATCCCTGAATCGCCCAAATCCCAAATCCCCAAAAGGTGGGCAATGCATTCGGAACTCTTCTGTTGTTGCGGGTGTCTATGGGCGGCGCTGATTGCTTACCATCAAAATAATCCGTCAGCTCGTTTGCCGAACTATCACATAAAAAATTAAACATTATAACATAATTTTCTCTTGTAGTCTTCATGACAATTGCGTTATTTACAGTTACACTTTAGTGATAGCAACGAGGCCGTACTTTAGCGTTGGTATTTTGGATAATGTAAATATGGTTTAATAGGTTCCGTATAACCAGTACTCAATGTGTTATTCTCTGTACCAAATATCACGTTTTTATGTGAAATGGTTTCAAACATCGCACAGTATATGGTAACTTTTAACATGCGTCAGTGTCGTTTCTATACATGGATTTTTCTGTTATACAAAGTGCTGTATCTGTATATGTAAAAAAGTAATACTTACAATGATTCGTACAGCCTGACTTCGATGGTGACTGGCTCAGAGACCCAGTGTATGAAAGCCCTGGGCTTTGGCGCTGTTTCACTACTCTCCACTGAACACTCTATGTCGGTGATTCTACCACGGTTGTCCTTGTTCACTTTCAAAACCTAGATAAAAATATACCAAATATATTCTTAAATTTAACCCAACGCTATCCGGAAAACAACGCCTTGAATTTGTAATTTTATAAGATAGGACAGAGTAAAAAAGAAAGGTGATTGAGCGTTTAAACCTAATCTAAATTAATACAATAAATTAAGTTAAATACTTGTTGTGCTCTTTACCAATAGTCAACCACCATAAAATAGTCTTACCGTAAGAACGTAGCCAGCATGTCTGAGCCCCACAGTTTGTGTGGGTGTCAACCGCCGGTATCCCGCCTCCGGGACCTCCTTAAAGTCGGAGGCCTCGATATAAAGGACCCTATTAAGTTTCACTGTGTGCTGCCCTCTAGTAGGTTCACTTGGGAAATCTGGTACCGGTATTTCCAAGCAGCCTTCATGTGGATAATTTGTTATAGTGATCTTTAGCGGCTCTAGAGTTACCATCGTCCTGAAACAATGACACAATATTAAATGTTATAAAATACAGCATAATGGGGACAACAATTGATAGAAAACGTTTATATGAATTTCAAATTACTGACAAAAGTAAACCCACGAATATTTTTTTTTTTTTTTTTTTGTAATGGTACAGGTTTTTATACTATATTTATGTTTTCTTAATTATCCAAACTAATATTATAAATTCGAAAGTAACTCTGTCTGTCTGTCTTTTCTTCACGCCTAAACTACTGAACCTATTTTTGTGTGGTACAGATATAGTTTGGAACTCAAGAAAGGACCTAGGATAGTTTTTAAAACAAAAAACTGCAGGAAGTCACTATTCCACGCGAACAAAGTCGCGGGCAAAAGCTAGTAACCAATATTACTATCGATATACACACTGCTAAATATATAAACAAAAGCTTCGCGGCGATTAAATGTATCGAATCACGATTACAAAGACTTGAGAGAATTGACATAATAATATGTCAAAAGTTAATAGACTTTTTGACTTTATTGACCAAAAGTATTGAAACAAAATACATATATTTTCCCAGAACAAACGTAGCCCTATCATGAGCGTGTTGAGGAAATATCATGGCAACCTTGAAATAACATTATATGCCATGTTAAACACAAAACATACCGTGATAACGTTATCGTTAGGATTATGACAGAGTGTCCTTTAAAACTTTTACACCTAATTTGAAATAGCGATATGTAGAATGTATTTGCAAGTTGAATAACTGTACCTACTGTTAATTTTGTGTATAACAGCAATAAATAAAGGATAAGTATACATAGGTTTAAGGTAAGTGGCCTCAACCTGGAGTAAAAGTCTGACACTCCCTCTCGCCTCACCTTGGGCGAGAGAAGTCATTTAATTTATTTTTATCCTCGAAAAAAAGGTAAGTACGTAATTCTACAAACATTAAAACGAGACTAAAAAGACTTATTGAAAATAACGAATTACTCATGTGAATTAAATGAGAAAAGCTGCAATAGTTTCAAGAGTTCAAGTCATAATCACACTCCCACTTAAGATCAGCGTACGCGATGCGGTGGCGCGAGCTTTTCTAAGTTGATAATTCACGTGAGTAAATCGTTATCGTTATTATCAATAAATTTAGCGTGTCTCACGATAGTCACATAGTCACACACACTATTGAACCATTGTATTTCTAGACTTCTGCTATTGCTATTGTTATTCTTCAATGGGGAAACACTTCAATTTTTTGTCTTACCTCAGGATCGAACAATTATTTATCCAAAAAACTTGCGTAGTTAAACAGCAAGGCATTCAGTGATACGTTACGGAATCTTAGACACTGCCCTTGATGTTTCCACAGAAATCCTTACAGATTTGTTCCATTAAATATGTATATAATTACCTGGGAGCTGTATTATTAAGTACATCTCTGATACTGGCGTCTAACATGGCAGGGTCGACGGCACCGACGGCGCCAGTGACGCCGAGTCCCGCACAGAACGTGTTGATGGCTTCGGAGGGTACACCGCGGCGGCGCAGGGCCGTCAGTGTGTACAGCCGTGGGTCATCCCAATCTGTATTTCAATTACAGAACGATGAGCGAGTCATAGGCTACTTCGCAAAGGATATTATAGTGGACAAACACGCATATGTGTACAAATAAAGAATTGACGTCATGTGCTCTCTTATTCGGAAGACTCGTTATCTGTCGCAGTCTTTTGCAACGATAACCATAACCAGATCTAGGTCATACTTCTTTCAGAACTATAAAAAGTATCTATTTGAGATGTAATAATAACGGTTATTAAGTCTGCCTCACTGCCCAGCGAGGTAGAAAGCGAGACTACCGAGTGATTTCTGCATCTCCAAGGCTCTTAGTAACACATCGGATATTATACCTGATACAACACCACTAGTTAAAAATTTGGTGTAACCTACATAAAAATATATGCATTACTACATAATCTTAGGAACAAAATAAGTGCTGAGAGAACGGAAACAGTTTTTCTTTAAAGAGAAATAGTAATTAAATCAATAAATAATTACCATTGACAATTTTCTCTTCAATGAGTTTGGCAATTTTCCTCTTGGACACTACAGTGTAGTTGACATTGAGACGACCGTACTCCCATTGGACGGGGCAGTAGATGCCGAGCGCATTACACAGCCAGTAGTATGAGGACCTGAAAACAGAAAATTACGCATTGTTATTACACATTCATTACAGTTAGGGCCTGTTTTACAATGTTTAATAAATTTCGGTGTAAATTACATAAACATGTATTGTATGATAGGACGATCTTAGTAATTATTAACAACTAATTTCTACAAGCAGCTTCGCCCGCAGCGTTGCTTTTTAGTTGATAATGTGATTTTTATTCCAGATTATAAAATTTGCTTGTGCCGTTCTGTAGTTTTACGTAAAAGAACACCAAGCATACATCCATAGTTACAAACTTTTTCATTTACATTTACAAATGCTATTAATAGCTCAAAAAACATATATCTGTTAAAAAAACATTAACAAGAGTGGAAGAGCCATACTTCAGCACTACTAACCTTCTAGACTGGAACTCCTTGGTACACAATGAGTGAGTGATATGCTCAATGCTGTCACATAGACAGTGAGTGTAATCATATGTAGGGTAGATGCACCACTTGTTGCCTGTGCGATGGTGAGGCTTGAACCTTATTCTGTAAGCAACTGGATCCTGTTTGCCCTCTTCAAGTGTAATCTTCATACGTAATGTGGCGTCTCCTTCATCAATTTTACCATTTTTCATGTCCTGCAATATTTTATACTTTTTTATTTTTGTCCACTACAATTTTGACAGTATAAACTACTTAGATTTAATCCTCAAAAAGGGTAGGCATAGATGGCATATTAAGATTAAAAGCTTTTATTTCACTGTTATTTATTGTCTTTGGTAATATTAAAATTTTACTGACGGAGTACTATGGCTTAATCTTATATTCATATACACCAAGGTACTGTAATTATACATTTAAAAACTATTTCAATAAATTAATATTTTATTAATTACATACCTCAAACAGTTGCAAGCTTTCCTCAACTGGCCTGTTCCTCCAAGGTGAGGGTGGAGGATTGAACCCCTTGATTTCTTCAGATTTCTGGTGGCACACATATGCAAGGTCTTTCTTGATCAATTGTACTGCCCACTCATACAGCTGGTCAAAGTAATCGGATGAGTGAGTGATTTTGTAAGGTGTGTAACCTGTAATGTCATAACCACTATGTTCATTATACATACATATACAGGAGAAAAGTTACTCTAGACATTTAATACAAATCTTTAAAATGGTCAGTATAGACTTGTGACACATAATTACTTAAAGACTGTTCATGAAGTAATACCAACTACATACTTATTGTAAATTTTGAGACAATAAACAATTTTTATATTTTTTTTTATATAGACTTGGTATAGATAGTTCAAAAATATTACATTAAAACATATTGTGTAGATAAATACCAGTTTATAATAAATTTGCAACAATATCGATTTATTAATAAATACATAAAAAAAGCATCTTACCTAACCACTCCACCATATCTTTGATACCAACAAAGAACTTCTCTTCCTCTTTCTCAGGGTTGGTATCATCATACCTTAGGAAGCAGATCCCATCATGAGCTGCAGCATACCCAAAGTTAATGTTAATAGCTTTGGCATGTCCTATATGTAAAATACCATTGGGCTCAGGAGGGAATCGAGTCCTCACTTTCCCACCAGTTATTTTTAAATGCTCTTCAAGCAAGCGCTTAGTATCATCGGTTACAACATATCCATCAGATTTAAAGTTTTCTCCTGGAGCATGGAATGGTAACTTCTTCATCAACTCAGATATAGATGAAGCACCACCAACATCAAATGCATCACCATTTTCTGTAGCTGATTTGTTAGCTCCGGCTGCAGCAGCAGCTGTAAGTAAATATTGAAATATATTATTTTGGAGGATAAGTATTTTATACAGGACCAATAGTGGTCTTGTTTTTAAATACAGGTATGATTTTTAAGAAGAATTAACATTTTTGTATACCTTCAGCTGGCTTCTTGCCCTTTTTCCCTGCATCACCTTTAGGTTTCTTTTCAGCTTTTGGTACAGGTGCTAAATCAGCTTCTGTCTTAGGACCCAATAAATCTAAAATCTGAAAAACAATAATGAAATTATAACCTTTGTAAAAACTATTTTCTCAAGTTTATCAAGTATACATTAATTATAAATATTACATTACAAAAAGGGTAAATACCTGGACATCTACTTCATTTTTGATAGCCTTCCCGTCAGCCCAAGGTAAATCAGTTCGCACAGCTTGCATCAAAATACCAGCATTGAATCTGTATCTTTTCTCTAACAACTCGCTTTTATACTTGGCCATATGCTTCTCCACAGCCTGCTCCACTTGCTCAGGTGTAACCACAACACCCACACCACAAGCTTTTTCAAATGCTTCACGGTCAACTGTAGCTTCATTTACATGAGTGATTAAATACTCTATGGCTGCTTCTACTCTTATGGTGGAGTCAAGCTTTCCATCGGCGATATAACCGCATACGAACGGCAGCTTGGCTGCAATCTGCGGCTTAATCTTTGTTGCCAGATGGTATATCAACATACCAGCACCTGTTGGCAGTTTTGCCACGTCCACCTAAATAAACAACAGAAAACAGTAACATTTATTAAAGATTTAAGTTGAATTGATTAGTTTACGTGATTTCTTTTACAAAACAAGGGTAATTTCAACTAATATGAAAGTACTAACCTCATTGAGTGCGGCGAGTAAATATTTTGTAACATTGGTGTTTTTTAATGTTTCCTTTGCTTTTTGTTCGTTTAAACCCAAAAGCTTGAGCCTTTCAACTGTTTCTTCAGGAGTCATGTTTACTTTTCACGATAAATCTATTTTTTTAATGGTGAAAGTCCACACCGCAAAACTATTCGCTCAGCTGGTAACTGAAATTCAATCCATTAAGAAAGATTTGGTGTTAGATGATGACAGAACAGACAGAACGAAATGACATAATGACAGTGACAGAACAGAACAGCTGAATCTGTCAGAACTTTTACGCTTCATTTGACGCTTGCGACTACCTATTTATCTTAGAAGAAAAACAACTTTGATCTATAAGAACAACTTACGATCAAAAATTATATATACAATTCGTTCTCTAACGATAAAACACAAGAAAGTTTTTACAAAAAAATATAAATCAAGATTTGAGTCCAGTGGATTTGATTTTGTATTTTTACTTTAAAACAACGTGTAGTGTTGGCTTGTCAGAGAAGAAATGTTTGTCACCAACCCATATGATATGAAAATCTACAAAATCATCAGTCTACAATAATGTTCGACACTAGACAATGCAGTTTTCTAAAATATAAGATTTTATAATGTGTGTGGGTGTGTTGGAATCAAACTCGCGACTCTTTAAACAGCAGCCAGCTGTCCAGCTCGTCGAGCATACATCCAAAAACTGAATATACCTACTAAATTCACATCATCACATCGTTAGGCTATAAGAAACCACTGCTAATAAAGGCCTGTTCTCACAAGGTGAACACCACGCTTGCTCAGGGCCGATTCAGCCGGGATTGCGGCGGGAGGCAGCGGATGCAAGCGTAACAAGTGAGAGTATGACAACCGTCGCTTTGATTATATTTTCGCTCAAAAAAAACCATCAATGCCGATTGACGATTTCAAAATTAATAATCAGAAATTATACATTTCTCAAGAATTCTAAGTAGTCTAAGGAATCTTAATATGTCATTGGTATCTTCTTGCCAGGTTTCAAACCCGCATGCATAAGAAGTTCGCGCCTTAACCATAAATCGAATTCCCAGGTTGTTAGTGTTATCTTAATAGACTAAGTTAAACACTTTACTCAACTCGGGAATTGAATTGCTTCGCTAGACAGACCGTAAACCTGCTACATAATTCTTTGAAAGCAAAAAGATCATTTTCTTAAATTTATAATTATTGTTTTAATATTCATCACATGATTTGAATCCTCCACAAACAATGCTCGCCTACCTACTTACTGGCGACAAGGACTTATCAAACCGAAGACGACGACCCATTGATCCGTGAATATAATTGTGAGACACTTGTCTCGTCTTATTAATACCAAGAAGTGTACAGGAGCGACTAACACCCACGTCTTTCTCGGAAATAAAGTTCACCAGATCAAATTTATTTATTTCACATCATGTAGTTAACAGGAACATTTCATCGCGCTTTTATATTTAGTGAAAAGTAAGGCAGAGATAGGGACAGGTCAAATCTGCTAGCTTTTTTTTATCAGGGGAAAAGCATCAAATGTCTTCTACCGCCCAGGGTTAGGCGAGAGAGTGTCAGACTCTTACTGACTAAAAACCCCCCCGTTCCTTCTCCTGCTCTGGGCCGAAGCCACGGTGACTCATTGCGCTTAACCCCAACCCCAGCTGAACATCAGCCCTATAGAAAATCTGCAAGCTGAATCGCTCATCGCTCGAAGGACTGACGGCCGGTGAACTCGAAAAGTGCTTGAGAGGCGCTCACAGTCACAGACCGGACGTGTCGGCTGACCTCAAGCTAGGTTGACCAAAGACATCGTTAGAACCCGCCAGTCGTCATGGGGTGAATATCACCATGAATCAGAGCAAGTGGCGAGTTGAGTCGTTCGTCAGTAAGAAAAAGATGAAGATAGAGATGTTGTGGTCATTAACAGTCATAGTTAATAAGTTTGGATCCGTGTTTACGTTGCTACCTGTAAATATAACTTTTACTTGGAACTGACTGAACTGACAACAAACGCTCATCGGCGAAGGTGCAGTTTAACAACAATGTTTTCATACAGTTTGTGTGTTCGCTACCATCCACGGAACCACAGGATGCCGGGCGGTAATAAAGTCGACAACATAAAATTGGAGACTCAGTTGCCATTGAAGAAGAAAAAAGTTTTGCTCGTTTATGTTATAACAGAGAGAGAATTCCAAAAACTCAGTTCGTATTAGGTAATGCATTCAAGCTGATATCTCTTTGATGAGTAGGAACGAATAGCGATAATGGATTATGTCGATGAATAGATAAAGCCATAAAGATTGATTACTAGTATGTATAGCAACCATATATAATTATATATAGGTACCTACTAGCTGACCCGGTTTTGGCTATTAAAAAATAAGGGTTGATCGTGAAAATGGAGGATTGTATGTATTTTTGTACGTTCGTTATATCATAAAAAAGGAATTAAAAATTTTGTCTTAAAAGTAAAAAAATAATATTAGGGGTTGACTACCCCTAACATTTAGGGGGATGAAAAATAGATGTTGGCCGATTCTCATAGATACCGGATAAGCACAAAAAATTTCATCAAAATCGGACAAGCCGCTTCGGAGGAGTATGACAACGAAAACTGTGACACGAGAATTTTATATACATATTAGATATGTATACTTAGTACTAAGTTAGTACTTAAGTAGTGCCTTTTATTAGACGACAATCATATTTAATAGACTGTAGATAACTACCTATAATATCGTTTACAAGGTTAAACTAAAATAATGAAAATTTACACTAGCATAATCTCATTCTCAACTATTCGACTTTTGATTAGGAAAAGTAAGTACCTACATGCATGTATACAAGTAGAAGTAAGTAGATAATTAAAACGAAGGTTATACTCAGGTAACTGATATCCATCATCACGATCTTGTGCAGTGTGTAGGTACACCTATAAATATTATACCCAAGCGAGTATGTAAATATAAAGAGATGTGGCGTTTGCTTTTTTATGTTGTTGGGCGGCAAATGAACATACGGATTACCTAATGGTAAGCAATCAGTACCGCACATGGAAAACCAGGGAAGTTACGTTAGTTTTGGGGATTAGGGATTTGGAGATTTTGAGGGAGGAGCGAAGAGTTGGGCCTCCGTTAACCTCAATCACACGGCGACACAACGCTATGATTGTTTCACCTCAGTTTTCTGTGAGGCCGTCGTATCAATCTGGTCGAGACGACACATTCGTGCCGAACCGTGGCTCTCCCTCACTTGTTTGTTCTTAAAGCGCTAAAATAATCCTTTTAGGGAAATAACACCATGTAAATCGGACTCCGGAATATAAACGCGGAATTTTGTTTCGGTATTGATGAATGGTTGGATACCAGTTTCTCGTTCATGTGACAACTACTGAACAAATCTGTATACCTAAGTAAATTTTGGCACACAAATTGATTATAGTCTGGAATAACACATTTTACACTGTATACAGATGCTTTTTACTCCGGCACTCCGGAAGAAACCGCCAATAGAAAGCAGTACCTATTAAATTTAATACAGTTCCCTGCTGAAAATTTTTAATATTAGGCTACTTCAATGTTATTGGCAGCCATGCTTGCCATACTTGACTTTTAAAGTAAGTTCAGACGCGAGCCCCTTGTGCATGAGAAAGCAGGTTGGAAAATTGGCAAGTACTAATGTGACTTTTTCCGAGTTATATGTCTTTCTATAAATATCTAGACACCACTGACATACGGTGAAAGAAAACATCATGAGGAAACCTGGATTTATAATTTCTAATTATAAGTTACAGTCAAATCGCCAATCCGCCTTGAGCAAGCGTAGTGATTAATGCTCAAACCTTCTTTCTCCATGTGAGCATTTGCTCAGCGGAGGGCACTTATAGGCTGATGCTGATTATAGCTTCTTGACACTCTTCAAGATTAACGATAGGGCCTGGGTCACCATAACGATAATAATCAATAGCCCGAATTTATATTTAATCACATAAAGTAACGACTTTCGCGTCGACGATAAATGGCTATAATAACGTGGCCGCACATTAAGAGCGAGTGATAAGCAGATAATAATTGATGAGGGCAAAGATCGATACCTGTTGCTATACTTGGTACACATAGCCTATTATTACCTGCCAGTATTATGTATACAAAATTAATGAAATTGTTCGTTATTACATGTTTGTCCACGGACGATAAGAAAGAACCGTGGGACGAAACAGCTGACGACAGGGTTCCCTAGAATGCCGTTTTTGAAACAATGCGTAGCCCCGGTAACGTTATCAAGGGCTCTAATACGCAGTAGACCTTTTTATTTGATGTGTTACAAAACCACATCACCAAATTCGTCCAGAATTCAAAACACCTAGATCAAATGTTAAAGCGAAAACTCATTCACGTATATTGCATCAGCAAACAAATGGATGACCAACTGCACCTATTTACATATTGGAATCCCTGGAATCAATTAATTAGCGATCGTTTGTATGAATAAGCAGAACAAATGTGGGATAACCATTAATAAAATGGTAGGTATGGTTTTAGACAAAGAGAATTGGTTTTAGATCAGCCGCGGTTGCGAGGCAAGCGCAATAAGGCACCGCGGCCTCGGCCTAGAAAAAGAGAAGGAACGGGGCGTTTATAGCCAGTAAGAGTATAACACTCCCTCCCGCTCCATCCTGGGCGGAAGTAGTTATTTTATGATTTTTTTGCTCACAAAAAAGGTATGGTTATAGATACGTTAATGGCACCATTTTCAAAACCGCATGAAAATCTGTTCAAAAGTTTTTGCATTGACCGCGCTCAAACGGGCAGACGCTCTTTAGCTGCGAGCTCTGAGCTACATGATTTTTATGTTAAAGTAATACTCCCATAGATGAACACATTTACCTAGTTGCCTACGACGCTTTTTAATCGATAAGGCCGTTACTTAGTAAGCCTTAAATTTTGTGGTCGTACAAATATAATACTAATATATTAAAAGTATCTAATGTACTCCTGTAAGTTCTTGTCTTTCTACATATTTCATTAAACTGGTATTTCTATTTCAAAAGGATATGTGAACCACACTGCAGGATCAACTAAGTAAAGGCATCTCGAGTAGACGAAAACCGCAAAACAATTCACCGATTCCCACGATTTCAGTGTCAATACTCGAACTAGTAGTATATTAGAGATCGATCCTATGTAAATTCTTGTTCAAACGAGGGTTTAGTTTCCAATAATCTCGAAATGGAATTTAACTATGAAGCAAAATCGTTCGTCCGTGGATCCGTTAAGTGAACGAGTGTAGGTGCTCGGTATGTTGAGAGTT